CAAGTGCGATTCTTTGTTTCGAATTGCAAGAAATATTTGAAAAACTTTTTATGAGTGGTTCATTGGACGAGAGTTCGTCGACCATGGAATTTAACTAGAAGATTTGTTGATAATTCAGTAGAATAGTGGAATAGGTGTTTTGTATCAATTATTCCTTGATTGAGCGTTTCTGGTAATGTAATCAAGTGCTATGATTTGCTTCGAATGGTAGGAAATATTTGAATAGTTTTTTATGAGTGGTTCATTGGTCAAGTGGTCGTCAACGGTGGAATTTACCTAGAAGATTTGCTTATAGTTCAGCGAAGTAGTCAAATAGATATTTTCTCTGAGTTATTCGTTGATTGAGTGTTTCTGATGAGATAATCAAGTGTCATTGTTTGCTTGGGATCGCAGAAAATATTGGAATAACTATTTGTGAATGGTTCATTAGGCAAGTGGCGGTCGATAATGAAATTTATCCGGAACATTTGCCTATAGGTCAGAGAAGTAGTCACATAGATGTTTGCTATGAGTTATTCGTTGATTGAGTGTTTCTGACGATATAATTAAGTGTCATTGTTTGCTCAGAATTACAGGAAATATTTGAAAAGGTTTTAATGAGTTTTTCATTGAGCAAATGTTCTGGGATTATATAATCTTCATAAAATGGTTGTTTCGAGTTGAACGGAATACTGGAATATTTGTTTGCTTTGAATTATTTTTGTATTGTGTTCTGTCGGTTAATATAAGCAACTTGAAATCTGTGCTTGGAAGTACATAGATTATTTGAATGGCTTTTTTACGATTCGCTCATCTCGTAGGAAATTTGAATAGGAGATGGCTACCATCGTTTCTTTGAATTGAGAAGCATATTTGAATAGGATGTTTAAACCAAGTATGTTGTAATGATTTCGTGTTGATTTTAATCTCGCAAAGATTGCACTAACAGCTTTGTCTTCTTTGTAGGACAGATGGCTCCAAAGCAACATCATGCACTTACAAGTGGACCAGTGTTATTTATCATCCAAACCAATAAACAATTAGTATTAGCTAGTTTTCTTCCCTTATCTTTTTTAACTAAATGGCTTCCTTTATTTATAATTTCGTAACCTTTTTTCTCTTATCTTCTGAGATACTTGGTAGTTCTTCCTTCTCTTTTTTCTCATTTTTTTATATTTATTAATTCTAACAAAATCCATTTAAAACATATTTTCTTTGTACTAATAATATATGTGCAGCATGAGCATCAATAAATAATACGATATGAAGTAAATGAGTATTTTATGCAAGAAGAAAATTTTTGATTCCATTATTTTCATTATAATAATGAAACAAGGCATCGATAAATAATAATAAATGAATAAAAAAATTGTTTTTGTTTTGTTGGATTGATCCAATTTATGTTATTATAAATTGTATTGATGATGGCCGCAACAATAAGGCGGAAAACTCAACAAAACAAAAAATACAAACAAACTTTTTTCATTTATTATTATTAATTTTTTTTTTATTATAATAATGTTTTTTTATTTTATTGTATTCTATTTTATTCATCTTCTTGTATTTTATTGTATTTTTTCTTGCTTTATTTTTTATTTTAATTTAAATTGATTTTTATTTTTATTTTTTTTTTTTTTTATTTTATTTTATTTGAGGTACTTTTATCCTTGCTCGTTCTGTGATCAACCAAATATCTTGAGGCGCTGTAATGTAAAAGGACCGGTTTTTATTTAATGTATTTTATTTTGTTTTATTTAATTTTTGTTTTATTTTAATTAAATTTAACTTAATTTTTATTTTGTTCTTTCTTACTGTATTTTATTTTCTTCTTTTTGAGATTTTGATGGGGAATGAAATCAATCGACCGTAAATATAAATTTTTGATTTTATTTTATCCTTATTTTATTGTATGGTGTTTTATTTGATCATATTTTATTTTATGTTTTATTACGGCATGAAGTCAATCCAGAGTATAAATTGGTTTTATTTTTTTTATTTTAGTTTTATTTGAATGTAATTAAAGTTTTTTTATTATTTTTTATTTCATTTTATCTTATTTTGCTTTAGATTTTATTACGATATGAAGTCAGTCAACAGTGAATACAAACTTTATGTTTAATATTATTTAATATTATTTTCATTTAATTTTTTCATTTTATGGCATTTTATTTAATATATTTTATTGCGTTTTTTATTTTTCTTTACTCTATTTTGAGTTTTTGTGAATTTAATTTAATTTTTATTTTAGTTTACTTATTTTCATTATCATTTTATTGTTTTTAATTTTGTGGTATTTTTTTCTAATCTACTTTATTGTGCTATATTTTTAATTTATTTTTTTAATTTTAATTATCATTATGTTTGTTTAAAACTTTTATTGTAGTTTCTTTTATTTTACTCTGTTTTAAATTTATTATTCAACAGTTGAAAATAATAATAAATTGAAATAAATTAGATTTAAGATATTAATTTGCACCTAATGGCACAAGAGGGAGGAAGTGGGAAAAGGACAAACAAAATCTAATATGCAAGTATGAATTCAACAGCATCCTATCGGATCCGATTGTCGAATTCTTCGATCTGAATAGATGAAAGATTTAACTTATGACAAAAAAAAATACAATGTACTGAAAAAGTAAGAAATATTGGGTGTTTATTCACCACAGAAATTAGAATTAGAAGTAAAAAAAATTCTTTTCATCACTTTTGACCTGACTTCAAGTGAGAACTACTGAGATTGATCTTTACAGGGTGTTTCATAAGTTTTGAGGAGCGACAAAATTAGTTTATCTGCAGACACAGAATAATCCCTAACCAAATGTATTTTATATGAGCTTTAAGTACTCGTGGCGGCCTTTCAAATGACATAAAATTCAATGATATCTTCTCTTGTAATAATAAAAATACAACCATAAGAATATATTGATAAATTTTTCGAAATCAACGAACAATATGAGTCTCCTATAATAACTAATGATAAATAGTTAATGATATTTTCCATACTTTTTCTTGACATAGAAGGCTAAGATTTTTATCACATATATATCTAATCAAGATCTTTTATTTATAAGAATTTTAGCTCTCTAGCTGTAACTATTGGTGAAATACATCGATAAGATTGAAATACACAAATTTTGATAGTCGATCTTTGGCCTATTTTCACAAAATAATGCAAAAACCGAGTATCGAAATTTATCTATTTCACCAGTAGTTATAACTAGAGTGCTGAAGCTTTCAAAAATAAAAGATCTTGATTAGATATATATGTGATAAAAATTTTAGCCTTCTATGCCAAGAAAAAGTATAGAAAATATTATTAACAATTTATCATTAATTATTATAGGAGACTCATATTGTTAGTTAATTTTGAAAAATTTATCAGTATATTCTCATGGTTGTATTTTTATTATTACAAGAGAAGATATCATTGAATTTTATGTCATTTGAAAGGCCGTCACGAGTACTTAAAGCTCATATAAAATATATTTGGTTAGGGGTTACTCTCTGTCTGTAGATAAACTAATTTTGTCGCGCCTCAAAATTTATGAAACGTCCTATACTGATGGCAAAACGATTACATTCAATTGATGTATTACGTATTGGTTGAGCAGCAGGTATTACTAGTCGACCTTTATTACTACAACCATCAGTAAATATAGAAAAAATTCCTGGAATTCCTTTACTTAAATCTCAACATCTTACTTCACAATACTTTCTAGCTAAAGCTAAAGTATCACCAGTTGCTGTATTTGTACGAATATGTGAAAGTGCAGCAATATGTGTGAGTAATTCTGTTTTATCAAATTCAAATACTCCAATTTGAGTAAAAAGTGATACATTTGATGCATAATTAATAAGAGCTACACCAGCTTTTTTTACATCAATATTAAGTCGACTGATAGCATCAATTAATACTTCTTTACCTTTTTGAAAATCATCAAAAGAAATACTTCCAGATGAATCTATTATAAGAATAAGATCGATGATAGCATCACATTTACCTTTCACCTTCACCATGAACATAATTAGACAATGCTATTAAACAGATAATCAAAATATTGATTGATAACATCATCATTTGCATTATATTTGTAAATATCACTTTAGAAACGTCATTTTTCGTTGACTATTTATTTCACAGTATATGATATTGATATCTATTTTCTTTTTTACAATCTCATAAAAATGAAACCTCTGACGAAGTAAATAAATAGTGCAACTATTGTTAATCCTTTGTATCACATTATATATATTACACAAAATTTCTAAGTGATATATTTTCAATCAAAAGATTATTCTGTACAAAATGCTTGATAAGTAACTTTACGATAAAAAATTTGAATATCTTCACTCGATTTGTTGTTTCCATAAGAACAACATTTAAATAACTATTATCTTGCAGTATTATCATTGGCTTCAATAATGAATTTTTATCTTTTACAGTATTGAGGATGACCTTAATAGATCGATATTGAATATATTCGATCATATATTTCGTTATGCAATGTGTGCTTGTTTTTTCTCTCTCACTGCCAATATGAAAATCCTCGTTTTCATCAGTACAATGAAGTGAAAGTGAGAAATAGTTTAAAATATAATTCAAATTCTTAAAATTGATATCGTTGAGTTGAAATAAAAAGAGAAATTATTTTATTCTCAAAATGAAAATTTATTATTTGAATAGTTTTAAAAATTTTTGTAATTTTTGCTTTTTAATATGTTTCTATGATGATACTCAAGTCAATATTATTTTTAAAAAAGTGCAAATGATGACAATTTATTATTTTGTGGAACTCACATATATCTTAGAGGAAAATTAGTGAGTGTGAGTTTTAAGCTCAAGCTTTTGCGGCTTCCACCCCTTCCCCCCTTACAGACACTCCCCATTAAAGACACTCCCATTACAGACACTCCCATTACAGACCTTAGCAATTAAGAATAATAGGCGTCAGACTTTCTAGGTTTTTTGAAAAATTGATTAAGTTATAATTTTGAAAGATAATCAACATCATTGTTTGTAAGCTGATTAATATATATAATAGTGCGTAAGATCTACTGTAGATATCATGGATATGTAAAACAAATTTATTTGCCAATTAATTCAACGATTATAATGATAAGAATGTTGAATTATGAAAAACGAATTAAGAAAAAATGAAATATAATGAACGATTAGCAACAATGCAAAATAAAAATAGGGCGCTCTCGAACAAAAAAAATTTTCTGTTTTAAATGAAGAAATAAATAACAAAGTCTTGCTCTTGTCATTGATTATCAATGAAAATAACTATAGTGCACACGAAATTTTTCAGTTGACATGTGATATGTTAGAATATTAAGGTTTAAGGATATATGTGAGTTTCACGTTTCAGCTCCAAAAGAGCTGCGCTAACAAGCTTTTTTTTCTATTTATTAATGCACTGTGAAACACAGCATTTAAGTAATCCTTCGTGAGTTATTTTTCTCTTCACAACATCCGCATAAAAAATTGGTATTTCCTGTCACGATGATTTCAAGCATGAAAAGTCACACAATATTCGTTCAAACGTTAAATGAAAATAGTGAGATCAAATCGATACTATTTTTGTTCGGATCTTCAATAGAACGCTGTATTTTCTTATAGAAAGCCATCAGCTGATGATACACAATGAATCAAAATGAGAATCAAGCGATCAATTGATAGTATTTCATGAGAAACACAATAATATCTGTTTATAGAGTCCTCTTAAAGATAAATTTTGCCAGAGTTCATTTTCACTTTCTTTCAGACTTCAATCAGCTGATTGATCAAAACATGCCATTTCTATTTTATATCAACAAAAAAAAAATCTTGGTTCTAGTAAAACGTAAATAACTTTTGGAGAAAAGCTTTTCGTAATCAATCGTAAAAACAATCATTCGTTTTTTTTCCGATAATTGATATCATTGTAGGCTTTGCAATTCATTTCGTAGTCAAGTAAAACTTGCGAATGTCGTTCTAGATCTTTGATAAAATGACTACATCAAGAAAGAAAAAAAATAACAACATAGCCCTTTCATCAGTATTTCTACATACTTTTTAAAATTGTCCATTTTTTTCAAAAAAACCAGGAATATTATATAGACTATCTCGAAACTACACTGTTTAATATTTTAATAAATTTATACAGTTCAAGAATTAAAATTCAACATAACTATGGAGAATTTTTCTTGTCCTGTCTAAAAGAAAAAGCTATTAGCGTAATCTCTGTGAGATTAAAATATGAGATATGATGTAGCTACTGTTGCTAATCATAAAGAGATTGTTTTATTCTATCTATTTTGTGACACATTTCTTCATCATCCTCTTACACAATCCTCCAGCAATGTAATAAGGAAGTAGTTCATTTATTATAATGAGATGTTACTCATATGCGGTCTGCGATCATATATCAACAACGTCTGTCACATCTGTGATGAGTTGTTGCTAAGGATGCCTGCCACGTCTGTGATCAGCGGTGTCTGTCATGTCTGTAGGGAAGGGGGTCCAAATTTCAACTTCTATACTTCAACACTCCTTTTAGATCGTGTTTCATAAAAAGTTTAAACATATCTTTCATGCTTTTTTAATAACATTTAATCAACCGATTTAACACATGATATGATAATTTCCGCTGTAAGTTACATATATTTCATCATTGTTTATCTGTCATAATTTGTCAACTGAATAATCTGTTAAAGAATTCACGCGTCTAATAATATTTTTCTTTGGTTTTCCCTTGTTCTTAATTGATTCAAAATAAAAAGATATATGATAACGAAAAAAAAAGCAAAACGAGACAACAATGAAAAAGAAAAAACAAACAAACAAACAAATATATGCACAGCAAAACAAAAATAAACAAAACCTTTGACTGTTTTTACAGTCGACCAATTTATTGATATGTACATGACAGTAAAAATAAATTGAGCAATAATGGAAACATATATATATATATATATATATATATATATGTTAATTTCCATTTTTCCAATTTTCACTCGGCTCAAGATGTACAATAGTATTCGTTGCTGTATCAAATGTTCGAGATGTTGTTGTTGGTTGTGGACGATTTAATGATGTTCGTGATTGCATATCAATTGGAGTATTTTCACATATATTTACTGATTGTGCATGACGCATACCAACGTGTTGATCTTGCTATTTAAAAAAAAACATTTTTTTCTCAAATAAGGAAAAAAATATTTACTACTTGTTGTGCTGTTAAACTCATTTTTGATGGTGATGGAACTTTATGAACAATCGTAGCACTAAATTCACTTCCATCATCTCTTTCGAATTGATACATTCTGTAGACAAAAAAAGACGATTGAATAATAACAAAAAAAAAATTCGTTCTATTTTTTATTACTTTGATAATTGTCGTTGTTCATTTGATCGTAAAGAAATTTTAGATGCAACACTTGCTGATCGTAAACGTACACGGACATGTGGATCCATTTCATCTTCTTCATCACTTGGTATCATACCTGATAATTCACATTGACGTTCTTGTAATTTAATAAGTAATTCACGAAATTCTCGTCGTAATTCTTCTAATTTTGTTGTTATTATTAAACGTTGAGTTTGACTTGATGAATCATTCATATCGACATTTTCAAATTGACTTTTTAATGAAAGTAATTCTTGTTGTAATGTTGTCATTTTTGCTTGAATCTAAATACAAAAAAAAACAAAAACATAATAATAATAATTATTTTTTGTTTATTTTTACTTCTTCTATTGATAAGTCATCAGACATATCAGATATACTACTGATACTTTTCTTTTGTGGTTGCATTTTTGGTGGTCGAATTATTCGACGAATTTCACCTGGAATTCGTCGATGAGCAAGAAGATCTTGAACAACACTTAACTAAATATAATAATTTGAATATATATTAAAAGAAAAATCGTGAAGGAAAACGAAAATAAAAACGAAAATTACTTGTTGATTAAAACATTCAGTAAAAAATCTTGGATTAGGTATAATATTTGGATCCACAATAACAGCAAGACGAATTTCATCAGCATATGATGTAACACAAAAATTAATACTAGCTGTACCAATACTTGGACTAAGACATATTAAACTTCGTACATCACGATTACATATGGACACTGTTGCTAATGCGGTAGTACTTCCAGCAGCTAATGATGTTAACCATAAACTAGCACTATTATAAATACGACTAATAATCTTATTAGCTAAAATGCATTTAATGAAATTAATTTTTTAAATTAATTTATTTATTTCAAACATACCAAAACAAAAAGGAAATAGAAGATAAGTGATATGCGTAAATAAATACATAGTAGCATAATCTCCATTTTCTTTAACACTTTTTATACTATCATTAAATGACCATAAAAGTGGAATGTTACCTTCAATATTCATAGGTAATTCAATACAAAGATGTGATATTTTGTTTCCCATAACTATATTAGCTGAATTTGATCGAAGATCACAAGGCATTACACAATTCATATTGGATGGATTAAAAACTCTATGATGAAATAGAAAAAAAGAATTAATGAAGTAATCAAACGAAAATAACAATATCTTTGATGTGTATAATAAAATTAAAAAAATTATTATTTTTACTCTTTCAACTGGAAAGAATATCAAATTTTTTCAACCTTTCATTTATTAATAATAATTAAATTTACCCATATCGTTCCATATATAATTTGACAGTAGATATAACTAATGTTGAAAGAAGATTATTCATACGTGTTCTTGTGACAAGTTTCATTCGATTAACTTGTGTTAAACTAAATGGAGTTGACCAAACAACAACTCGTTGTTGTTGTTGTTGTTGTTGTTGTTGTGTATGAGAATTAATAGTTGATACATTATTATTATTATTAGTAGTAGTAGTAGCTTTATTTTTATATAATGTTCGTTTAAAAAAATTTTCTCTAGATGTCTTCGATAATAATTTACTAAATATGAGTTTATGTCCGAATAGATATGATTTTATATAATCAAATATAATATGTTCACCATGTTGACCAGCAAAACGCGGTTTTATATCTAGTTGTGTTGTGCGATTATCAACAATATGTTTAAGTAAAATACGTAATAATGATATTCCATCAGATAAAACCGGATGATATAAAAATATAATTACACTATCATTTGGACGTATTGTTAAACGATTTTTATAATACAATTGCCATAAAGGACGATTATATGGTAAATCATTTGATAATAATGTTGATACATATGATTGAAGTTCTTCATCGGATTGAATATTATGTGAAATTTCATGTACATGTTCATCAATAGAAAATAATGAATAATCAACCCACATTGTACCAGAAAAACGTGAAACAACTAATTGTGAAAAACGTGGAAATAATTTTTGTCCAATATTTGTACCACGTCGAATACTACTTGTTATAAGACGATTAATTAATAATTTTTTTAATGAATTTTCATTTATTGTTCCTAAATATAAAAAAACAAAGAAAAATAAACAAACAAATAATGTTTTTTGTTAAATGAAATCATTTTTTTCTTAAAAATTTTACCTTCAAGAAAAAAAACTGCTGCTCCTATTGGTGATACAGTTTGAGAATTATATTTTCTTGTTTCATTATTTTTATTATCTCGATTTGTTGATATATTACTATTATAAAACCAAAATAAATCACTAGCAGATAAATAATTACAAGCACATGGTGTTACAGTACAACGATGTCGACAAATTAAACGTATTAATGTTCGTATTAACCAACATATAGGTAACAGAACTATTAATAATATAATACATGGAAAAGAAATAAAGATTCCAAAAAAAATTGTTGAAATATATTGAAAAAAGAAAACAATTGATGAACGATCAGCAGGATGTATAATACGTTTAATAGGTTGATTTTGTATAAAATTTGTTGTTTGTTGTTCATCAGTTGTTGCTGATTGAATATAACCTGTTTTAGTACGATTTTGTGTTGTTGGTTGTTGTTGTGAACGTGTCATATCTATTGGTTCAACGCGTTGTGGTGGAAAAAAATTTGTTGTTGTTATTAATTGTGTTTGTAATGTTGATAAAGGTAGAGAATGAACAGATAATCGTTGTTGTTCAATATTATGTTTATTATTATTACTATCGATTGGGACAGAAACTACGTCAGACACGACTGATTGAGCCCATCGAGTGTCCACTTGCATTATTTCCTAGATTGAAAGACATCTTATTTTATTTTGTTTTTAGCAAAATAAGGATATTGACTATGTAATGTCATGAAACCAGCATTATCGACGTTTTTTTTTCTTCAGAAAAAAGAAATATAAGAACTTACACTATTTTATTACTTTTTTTTTCTCATAAAAACATATGTTTTACTATTTAAACATATTACGATAAGATTTTTCTCCGTTTTTTTTGTTAACTTGTCGTCTGTATGTTCTTCAACTAATCTCCATTTATAAATAATGACAATCAAAATGGACGAGAAAAAAAAAAATTTTCTCGTAGATAAAAAAAAATAAGACTGATGAATATGGAAAAGAGAAAAAAATCCTCAATTTACTATTTTGACATATACATTCAGTCATCTACATAATGCTTAAAAAATTCTCTTTTCAAAAAGAAAAAAAAAAAAAGATATCACCAACATTGCTTTGACAAGATTCATTAGGCTAATAGAAAAACACTCAGAAATCAGCGAGGTTTTCTCTTTTTTTTTTATAAAATAATTATTCAGACGTGTAATCCTTTTTTTTCCCCGTGGATTGTAAAAAAAAAACTCACTACATATCGTATTTGCTCACCTCGAAGAAATTTAAGAACGGCGTTCATCGATATACAACAGCGACCATAATAAATTGTTTTGATGGAAGACAAACTGGCAGACATATTTCCTGTTGTTGACAGCTTAACATCGTCGTTGTGTCCCCATTCTTATCGGCACAATCCTGAAAAATAGTGAGCACGCGAACTCAGATCATCATCATTGGTTTTTCTCCCTCTCTTTATATATATATATATATATATATATATATTTCTCTTATGGTATTACGACTCAAATATGAGCTCGAATGATTCAAGAACGCGTTACTTCCACAAGAGTAGATAGTAAAAGCAGACGGTGATAGATTAATTCTCTTTATACTCGTTTCTTTTTTTTTCGGCTGGTTGATAGTGATTATGAGTAACAGAAAGCGAAATATAGAAAAAAAAACACAGGAATACATATGTAATTGCTAAGAATTAGCGATAGAAAGAAATAGAGTTGAAAGAAAGAAAAAGAAAAGTGACTAACTACAATAATAAGAGTCTGATTTGATCAAGGTTATTCTGGCGTATCGAACAGCACAACAATACATTCGTGAATGATATGCTATTTTGTGTTAAAATATAGATACACAAACTATATCTTACCGACAGTAAGATGAATTGTGCTGTCGTCATCGAATAGCACAATATATATGAAAATCTAGATGGTAATTGAACAAGAAAAACACGATTTAGATTTATTCATGAACGAACAATATAAGACTTAGTTGCATATGTTTAACAGTCTGCTAGCAATTTATTATTCTAACACACAATTTATCAATCCTATCAATCATAAAGTAACTTTTGCTCTTTGTAGTATATGAACTCTGAAAGCTTTTTTGTGACATTTAACTAGTAATATATAATTGTATATAATATAGTAGCTGTATGTATATATGTCTAATGTTAATTATTGCATATGAAACTTCGGTCTGGTTTATTGAATAAATTGAATTTGTCAGAACTTGTCTGTTTCTTTTCTTTTCTTTTCTCATTTTTCTTGTTTTTCTTTTGCTTGTTTTTTCTTACCTCAGACAATGTTGACGGTGTAAAATATCTGTCAAATGATAAGACATTTTTGCTAACAACACCAAACAATATTTAAGCGCTTTTCTCTCTATTTATCTATTCCATTCTTCTTCGCTCTATGTGTATCTCTATGAAAGTAGAACGAAGAAACTGGGGAAGCGTGGTTGTCTTCTCGATGTTTGGTCTTACTGATGAAAATTGTTCTACGCAATTAAGCTGCCAACATTCGAACCCATCGTCGATGGCATCGCTATATATTCCTCTCTTGCATTTTTTTTCTCTCTTCTTTTACATCTTTGCGATGCACTTGCTGGTTCGCTGCTCATCACAACGACTACAAACAGTCGGTTGATGTTGTCGCCGGTGTGTTTGTAGCATCTCATTTTTCACCCTCAGTTTTAGTTAGATATATACGCCCACACATAAAAAAAAAGAAAGAAAAAAAGAATAACTCGATCTTTTCCTTTTTTTTCTATTTTTTTTTGTTCCTTTCCAAAGCGCATTCTCTGAGCAGCACACTATAGAACGATAATGGAATTCGCTTCATCGAGGAAACATCACTAACAATGACAATAACAACCAAAAATAAATAAATAAATAAGTGCGATGCTGAAAGAAGAAGAAGAACAAAAAAAGGAAAAATCAACATCGCTTCTTTTGTTGTCGTTCTCGTCTGTTTGACAATCGTTGTAACCTTTCAATGATATTGATGACAAGAAAAAGAAACACATACAACGACTCATCAAATTTTCTTGCTTCTGTTTCTTTCATTAGGCTATTTAATGACTTGTATTAGTTTGCCCTTATTCGGTTTGAGAAAAGAAAAAAAACCTATATATATATATATATATTCGTGCATTTATCACACAATTATAAGTGCATAAAGAAAAGATTGAAATGACAATATTATCGAAACTTTAATATTAGAAATACAAAAATAATAGTAGAATCTATCATTATATGATCTTTGATATAACAATATGTAAACATGTGTTATTATTTTCATTATCATTATCCAACAACAACACAAGTACTACCAGTCCAAGTCTGACCACTTGAACATGTACAATTAGAACCAGTCCATGTTGTTGGTGTTGGACTAACACAAAAAAAAATGAAAGATATTAAAAAATAATGACAAAATAAAAATTACAAACCAAAGACAAAGACCTGAAAAGCAGACAAGTGGTGTGTTTCTATCGCATGCATAAGTACCAAGACATGTTCCATTAATACTCTTTCTTTGAACTAAATAATATTAAACCGAGAAAATTAGATTGATTTTATGCGAATATATATATATACAAATACATACTACATTGTAAACCATCATAAAACCAATTTGGTTGACAATCACATGTATAATCATTACTCCAAGCTGGGCAATTACATGTTCCTTAAATAAATAAACAAATAGAACAAGTAAATATTTACATATTTGTTCTCTACCTGGTAGTGTTGGACAAATAAAATTTAGTGTTTCATTACAATAAAAATCAGCATTACAAATATCTCCATAGAGACGTTTGGTTTCTATGCAAAAATATATATAAATATGAATAAATAAAAAAATAAGAAAATTTTCATTCTTTCATACCACATTGTTGATAATTAATATCCCAATACATTGTATTAGGACACTGACATGTACTATTGGAATAACAATAAAGACTTAATGTATCATCACATGGTAAAGCACTAGCACCCGTTGTTACATTATTACATGTTTGCCAACCGAGTTTTTTCGGCACTGATATAAGAAACAAAAGAAAAATACCAAGGATACTTAGATAAATAAATACGAATTCCTACCACAAGAAGATCCATTCCAATAATAATTTGACACACATGCACATCGATTTCTAAATACCAAGAAAATTTTTATTTATTAATTAAATATATACAAAAAAAAGAGAAACGCTATTAGCGCAATCCTTGCAGGATTTAAATATAAAATATGATTTAGCTGGCGGTACTAATATCATGGGGAGATTGCTTTATTCTATGCATATTGATACACATTTCTTCATCATAGTTTTGTTTAATCCTCTGGAACTGCAGTAAGGAAGTGATGCAAAAAGTGAAGAGACAGAAGGCTAATTCACTCTGGCTCCTTCCACATCGAGACGTCTGTGGAGATCCAAATTTTTACATCTATACTTCAATACTTTTTCTTTAGATCATGTTTCATAATACATACGATAAACAATATAAATTTGACGTATTGGAACAATGACGTGTTTCTGTACAAGAAGCATTATATACATATTGTGTTATACAATATGATTCATTGAAAAATTGTGTTGTTGCATTGCATGTACATACACCTGCTGTACTACATATAAAATTTGAAATACAATATATTGTTGGTGGACTACATGTTTGACCATAAAAAGGATCAGCAACTAATCACGTTTAATAGGAAAAATATATATATATAAAGAACTAAAGCAAAAAAAAAATACGAACCACATGCTTGGTTAGCAACATGTGTTAAATTTGGACAAATACAACTACTACCATTATAATATGAATTCACTGTTTCACCTTAAATATTAAATGTAAAAATGGATATATACATCTAAAAAAGTCACAAAAAACAAAAGAAAATTTTTCCAACTTACATATACATCGACCTGAAGGACAATATAATCCTCGACTATCATCACATTCTCCACTTAAAACGGTACAACTTTCATTATACAATTTTAATGGTTTAATAGATTCTAATAAATAAATAAAAAACAAAAGGAAAATATAACATAAAAATTAATTTATAAACTATTTCTTTCAGTAATAAACTTACTTCGTGGATATGATATAAAATAACCCATAGCAAATGCGGCACCGAGTATTGTAAGAATCAAAACAATAATCAAAATAGGAGGAAGCCATTTTGGTACAATACACTTTCCTTTAGCAACTAATAAATGAATCAAAATTAAAACAATGATTTGTTTTTTTTTTTTTTCCTATGGAAATAAATACCAGTTTCTGTACGTTTCACTTGTGCAAGTAATTCTTCATTTTCAACGCTCACCTACAAAAAAAAAGATTAGATATAATGATATTCAATAAAAGCTAGATATGATCGTACTTGAATAATATCCACATCTCTGCTTGTCGACATGTAATTTTGTTTTTTAGACTTACTTTTGTTTTTGTATAATACAATGTAATTTTTCTTTTGTGTTTTTGATGAATGAAAGTTTACAGAGAAGAAAGAATAATGTCAAATATAAATGGAATTAGATAATATTTTATGTAAAGAAAAAAAAGCAATTTCTTTAAGTTTTCGTTTTGTGTGTTTATTTTATTTTTCGTTTGACTAGCCATCAAAAAAAACAAAAGAAAGAAATCCAACAAAATATAAATTTATGTAATGGTTTTTGTCAACTTTTCAATATATGCCATTAATTCATTTTGTAATGTTGAACCAGAACGATTATCACGTGTAACCTAAAATTTTTTTTATTCAAAAATAAATGAATATTTTTTTCTTTTCTTTTTCTTTTTGTTGAAACATACTGTAATTAAATGACAATCTTTTCGTGTACGAATTTTATCAACAAATGCTAAAGGTTTTATAGGTACAGTTGCAATAAGAATTAAATTTCGACGTTCAATTAATGTTTGAATTAAATCTTTGAATTTCTTTGATAATAATTCCATTTTACCTATTTCATCAATAAAACAAATACATGGTGTTTGAATATTCTAATTGAAGTAAAAAAATAACAAAATTAATTTTTTCTTTTTTTTATATAATGTTAATAATAAAACTTTACTGTTAATAATGGTAAAGCAATGCGTTCAAATTCATCAACAAATACATTGTATAGTCCGACACGTGGTAATGATGATGGTGATGATCTTGACGTTGTGTATTCACTTGAATAAAAAAGAATTATTACTTGACAGAGAAACATATGTAGCTGTCGGACATTGTTCGACTTTCGATAATGATTATGAATAGATTCTTGTGAGACTAAGAAAAACTTAAAAGACTTTGGAAGACGATCAATTTTAAATGAAGAATTATGGCTGTTTTAATAAAATTTTTGCTGAGAGCAAAATAATTCCGAAAAACTCAAAACAACAAGTTTGGATTGGAAATGTTGTGTGCAGACAGATTTAATAGTTATTATAAAGTCCTGAAAGTTCCAACAAAAGTTAAACATGTTTTTTTCTAGAGATATTCAATTTCTAAGTAGATTAATCGTTCTTTAGTAACGCAATAATTTTTGTGAAAATTTAATATCTCAAGAAAGGTATTTTCATTTTTGTTGAATGTTCAGAATTATATAATGACCATTAAATCTACGTATACTCAATGTTGTCGGTCGAAGTTCGTTATATGGAAAGGACGTGGGCACTAACCCTTTTAAGTTTTTCTTAGTCTCACAGACATCTACTAGTGTAGCCATGCGATGAAGTTGAATGACATCCGAGAATGAGATATGTTCTCTTGTGGGAGATTATAGTATTCAAAGATTATTTTTATTCGATAGAAAATATGTAATTATCATTATATAATTATTAAAATCAAATTTTTATTTATTTTTTTTTCTATGCAAAAAAGAATTGATTTTTAACTCATTATTTACTAAATATAGTGGCTGTCGAAATTAATCAAACAATAGATATCTTTATTTTGTTTTGTACATATTTCAGAAATTAGATCCGATAAAATGATCTGATTGTCATCAACCAACAGTTCACTGATCTCTTGATTCTTTATTCACGGTATAATCACAGCATGCTGTTATTTTGATTCTTTCAAAATTATTCAACCTCTTAGTTTTGCAAACTGTTGTACGCTCGTTCTAAGTTGAAATTTTCTTTATGATATATGATTCAAAAGAACATATTATGTTCTCCGTAAGATCTACTTTTTATCGTAGCTTTCTGTTGAGTATATGTGAAAAAAACAAAGTTGTTTTGGCTCATAACGAAAATTAAGAATAATAATGATGACAAATAGGGATGTACCAATTCCAATTCCAATCAATTCCCGTTCTTAGATTGGTTGGAAT